CAATTGGTTGCAAGTGGGTGTTCAAGAAGAAGGTTGGTGCCAATGGGGAGATTGAACGCTACAAGGCTCGATTGGTTGCAAAGGGATATTCACAGACAGAAGGGGTTGATTATGGTGAGGTATTTTCACCTGTTGCAAAGTTAAATTCCATAAGACTGGTTTTGTCTGTAGCAGCTGCATATGACCTAGAGGTGGAGCAGCTGGATGTGAAGACAGCTTTTCTTCATGGTGATTTGGAGGAGGTTATTTTCATGAAGCAACCAGAGGGGTTCATTGCAAGAGGCAAAGAGGAGCTAGTCTGCAAGCTGAATAAATCTCTGTATGGCCTGAAGCAGTCCCCAAGGATGTGGTACATGAAGTTCGACACTTATGTGCTGAAGCTTGGCTTTGATCGTTGTGATGCTGATCACTGTGTTTATGTGAAAAGGTTAGAAGGTGACTTTGTTATTCTAACTTTGTATGTTGACGACATGTTACTCGTTGGAAACAGTTTGAAAATGATCAGCACTGTTAAAGGACTGCTAGCAAAGCAGTTTGAAATGAAAGATCTAGGCGCTGCAAATGTGATCTTGGGTATGCAGATTAAGAGGGAGCGTGACAAACGAAGATTATGGTTAAGTCAGCAGAAGTACATAGAAGATGTTCTGAAGAAATTCAAGATGACTGACTGCAAGCCTGTGTTGACTCCCATGTCAACTGGTTCTAAGTTATCGGCTGACCAGTGTCCCAAGACTGAAGAAGAAAAAGAAGAGATGGCGTCAGTTCCTTATGCTAGTGCAGTAGGGAGTCTGATGTATGCCATGATTTGTACTCGACCTGATATTGCTCAAGCAGTGGGAGTATTGAGCAGGTATATGTCCAAGCCAGGAAATGAGCATTGGACGGCTGTGAAGCGTGTGTTCCGCTATCTTCGTGGTACGTCTGACCTTGGGTTATGCTATGAAGGCGTGAAGGGCTCAAGGGGACAGACATTGTTAGAGCTGAGATGCTTTGTGGATGCTGATTGGGGAGGTGACATTGATAGTAGAAGATCTACAAGTGGATATGTTGTTTCTTCATTTGGCGGAGCTATCAGTTGGATGAGTAAGAGGCAGAGCATTGTTGCTTTATCTTCTACAGAGGCTGAGTACATGGCCTTGACACATGCTGTTAAGGAAGCTATTTGGTTACGGAGGTTGTGCAAAGAGCTTGGCTTTGCACAAGGAGAGATGATCGTTGGGTGTGACAGTCAGAGCGCCATTTTCTTGGCTAAGAACCCAGGTTTCCATGCGAGGACCAAGCATATCGGCATACAGTACCACTTCATCAGAGAGAAGATTGAAGACAAGGTTGTATTGCTGGAGAAGGTTGACACAAAGGTCAACAATGCTGATTTTCTGACCAAGGCAGTGACTTCGGAGAAGTTTGAATGGTGTACAGATGCATTGGGATTGAAGAAACATGTGAAGCATTCACCAAGTGGGAGAATGTTGGGTATGGTTCATACTTCACATGATGATGTTGGCCCTAATTGTCGGGGTCAGCAGAAAGGCAACTGGGGTCCCGCTCCCAGGTGAGCGGGCGGGGGTCCGGGGGGCAGCGCCCCCAGGCCCGTAGAGGCTAGGTAATGTTTAGGCCTCTGTTTCTATTGTAATTTTCTTAGCAGTTTGGGCTTGGGCCCATGAATAGCTGCTGTTAGGGTTTTTCGTAATCCTATTTATATTTGCCTTGTAAACCGAGAGACTTGTAACGAGTGGCGGTGAGGTGAATATAGTACAGACAAGCTGGACGTAGCCTATATTGGGTGAACCAGGGTAAATCATCGTGTCAATCTCTCTACTCTTATCTCTTTTTCTGTTTTCTCGATTCTGTGTGATTGTCGATTTCCAACACCTTTCTGAACTAAATTCTTTTGTCTTTCCTTAATCAACGCAATTCTATTATTACCCTTGGAATTTGCCTTGTTACTTGAGGGGGAGTGTCAGCATTTTCCTCCATTTTGAATTTTGTATTTGAATTCATTTCTAACAGCTCCTTTATTTACTTCTGTTTTGATTTTGTATTCATTATTCAACATGAGGTGATCACATATAAAATGGCAATCCAGTTCAATGTGTTAAGTACATTCATAAAACACTGGATTGGTAGGTGTATCTAAAACTTAATTGGCAACCCAATAAATACTTGATGAAGCTTAGTAGTTGTTTAGCTACATACTTGATAAGTGTAGCCCAAACTTGGTTGGAAATTCCATAAATATTGGAATAAGCTTCTATACATAGTGTGAGCGGGTGCATATTAGGATTCACACTTGAGAAGAAGAGTGTAAGAGATAAAAATATGAGGTAAGCTAGACCAAGAACCCATAAACCCTCGGGATAACTTTGGTATATTCTCAAGAAATGAAGTGTGTCAATGCAGATGACCTATAATAAATGTCTGAATAATGCTTCTGCTTTGAGCTGTTTGGATAATTTTTACATAATTCATATATACTCATAATGTGCAGAACTGGCAAAACTGTAAATTATTGTTCTAGATTAGTACCGAAATATTTCATTCAAAGACAAAAGCTGTTTGAAAGTAAAAGATAATCAGATAAAGGTGGAACAAGTGTAAACAAGCGAGTTTTTAGTAAATATAAAGATAACTAAAATTAATATTACAAAATCTTAAGAGAAAGTTGCTCATTTCTACATAGCCCAGTTTGTGGTGCTTCACAAATCACAAGTCTCCTAAACACAGCATCGCTGCTCTTTTAGCTAATAATGTCAGCTACCAGATTTCCTTTCCTTGTGATAAATAATAGCTATAACTTCCTTCATATTTGTCATTTGAGCTTCCGACTGTTCTGCCATCTGTTATAAACATAGTACTCTCAAATTTCAGTCATAAACTTTAAAAATTTAATGCCCAAACAGCGGGCAATATAAAAAACCGCCGTTATAACTTATAAGGCCAAAACACAAACACCAGAAGCTAATATGCTCAAACATTACATGTAAAAAATTTTAGAAGCCAATATCTCCAACATTTTGCAGAATACTTGAAACTTGAGAAGTTATAAAAAATGGGCTAAGTGAAGACCACATGAGAGAGGACCCTCGTGACTCCAATGCGTTAAGGTTTTATGAGAGAACCCATTAACTCAATGCTTTAAGATTTTTTATTGAGACGTTGTATCAGATCTACTTGACATAGTTGATGTAGCTTAGTGCATTGATGGTGATCCCCCGTCGTGAGCTACTCCTGACTCGCCTCATAGTGATATCAATGCCGGGTTGGACTTGAGCTAGTCAGGTGTTTGACTAGAGACGGGTTAAGTATTGAGGGGCAGCATACTAATGTGGAGTTTCACACTTAAGGGTAAAATTGTTAGAATATTCAAGTGTGATGGAGTCTCACATTAGTTAGTAATGGGCTAAATGAAAATCATATAAGTGAGAGGACCCACGAACCCAATGCCTTAAAGTTTTGGGTTAAGACATGGTATTAGATCCACTTGATTTGATTGGTATAACTTAATCCATGAGTGACGGTCCCCCGTTAGCTACCCATGGCCCGCCTGATAGACGTGTAAAGACTTTATGCTAAAGCTTATCAATGCCTATAGCTATACCCAAAGCATCTTAAAAACTTCACTTTTTTTTTCCTAAGGTGTTGTTTGATTGAGGAGATCCTGTAATTTCCCTAGGCAAATCAACTTGGCAATCCACTTTGTCTTTGTTTGGTAGACAAATTTGGCAACGTTGCCCATCTATGCCATTTGCATAGCATTTCCCCATTTGGTTGATGAAAGCTAGGCATTGGCACTGTTGAGAAAGAGATCTCGGACGTGGTTTTTTGTCGATAGCCGTCTATATTGCAAAATGAAAAATTAAAGCAACCGAAAATACCCTCCTGATATTAAATCCGTTGTGTGGTCAGCAGCCCCCCACTTCGTTGTGTGGTCAGCAGCCCTCCTGATATTATCAAACTAGAAGCTACAGCTGGTCCAAAAGCATCAGCCTTGGCCTTATTAATATTTTCCCACACATATAATATTAGACTTCCAACACACATGCCAATGGAAAAGTAAAGCCGTATGTAGAAAGGTATTACCATGGCCATACAAGGAGAAATCACACAGCTCATTATTGTGCCAAATATTTGGTTCACAAACATGAAACGTGGTGAAGCCAAGGTAAGGTAGCCAGTCTTAAAATTCTACATCAGATCAAAGGCTGTGGAAACAATGTTCATCATCACACCACAAGCTACAAGACTAGCAAGAAGTCCACCACGTGATGCACCTGCCCATGCTCCAATTGTAAAGATGGCATGTACTAAAATATTGATATCTTCAAAAAATGAATTGCTCAACTTCGTACTTTTATTTACTGAAATTTCAATTAGTTAGCAAGAACTCCGCCATTCCTACTCTCACTGGATCCATTTTTCTTTCTTTTTCACGTTTCTCTTTAATTTACAATTTTTTTTATTTTCCCAAAAATTTTAAAAACAGAGATATTTTCATAATTGTCACTTATTTTCCCATTTATATTTTACCTCAAACCAAACTTAGACTTTATAAATCTTACCTAATTTGTCCAGTAAAATTTTTTCCAACCAAACAACTTTTTTTACATTTTTCTACCAAACTCATTTTCCAACCATTTCCCTATCAATTACATTTTCCTAGTATTCAAAAAAAATTCTCCTCAACCAAACGCCCCCTAACAGAAGATCCGAAGAAAAATTGGAACCTGATACCTTAAAGAATACTTAAAATCTCATCACCCCATTGTCAAACATGACAATCACATAACAAATGCATTCACCAATCAGAGATATAAGCATTTGATAAGTCCAAGGATCTTACAGGTCTAATTTGGAAAACCTTCATATCTCAAAACAATTTATTTGGGAATTGAGACTGGTTTCGGGTATAGAAACATAAGAAATTGTATCCTAGAATTGATAATTGAAAAATTCGAAATCTTTTATTTGTGGACATTGATTATTAAAAATAAAATTTAATTCTATATGCTATATGCTAAGAGTTCCAAAGCTACCTGTGAAATCTCATGTGGACCGAGGATACAGCATAGATGTCCAAACTCCCAATTCTCCCCACAGATGTAGCAGAAGTGGCGTCCACACCTGGAAAAAGAAAATGGAGTTATTATAATTCATTACCATACTTTGATTAAAATGATACAAATATATAAAAACGAATTACTCATATGGAAAGTTAAAATTTGTGAAAATTATTAATGGAGATACAAAATACACAACCTGCAGGTTATGTGTTCACATCCACCACAACTTTCGACATAGATAGAGCATGTGGGACATTTCTGCCACATTTTCAGTTTGGCCAATTCGCAAAACATCAAATCCAATTCTTTTTCACGTTCACTCCTTTTAAGCTTTTGAAATTCCTTGCAATCCGTTCCTGCATGCCATGGAACCTTACACTGCGCACAAAATAGTCTGTGACAGGAGGTGCACTCAGAATTAGTCACAACGTTTCCATCATTCACCAACAAAACAGAGCAATCCTTAAAGGGGCAATAAGCCTTTTGCAACCCAACAATTGAAGACTCGTATCTTGCAGATTCCCATCGATCAATAACTTGTTTAGGCATAATGGGTTGCAAATGTTTTGGCTTCAACTCCACAGAACATTTTGGATTTGGACAATTCACATTCACAACATTTTTCTGTATTTGAGTAGCCACGTAATTGGATATGCAGTCAGTGCAAAAGGGGTGGTTGCATTTACTTCTTATGAACATGTCAGACTCTGGTTTGAAATCAAAGCAAATTCCGCAAAAGAGTTTTGAGGATTGACCAGCCATCTCTATGTTGTTACTGTATTTCTTTCTTCTTCTGCATGTGCTTGTAACTCTTCACATTCTTAAATAATTGACTGGTTAGAATGATTCACGCATAACATAGGAAATGATGTCAATTAATTGGAGCACGAGCAAGCATTCAATCGTAACATTCTTATTTAATAAGTTTTACTCGGGATACAATGATTCAAAATATCCAATACCGAATTATGGGGATTTTTTTGAGTATAAGAATTATGCGGATCTTTACAACACAACGTTTGGGATGTGACTTTTTGTAGTCAAGTAGAATCACAACAAGTGTAATATATGATGTTACGTTATACGTTCATTCTTATCTTCTTATTCGGTATTAGATTAGTTTGTTTTTATCTTAATTATTTAAAATTAGTTTTATTCATTTATAATTCAAATTAAGATTTTCTTATCTCGAAACTATAATTCTATAAAATCATTAAATTCCTCACTTATTTTTTCTCCCCATTCTCTCCCCTAATCTCCTTTCCTAATTTCCCTTTCCTTAGAATTTCTATCGTTAAACGTAATTACACTTCTTGGGAGTTTCATCATTAGTTAGACCAATAGACCACTGAAGAGTAAGCCCAATCATCTTCGGTAATGCAAAATAAAGATATATATATATATATATATATATATATGGGTGTTGTTTTTATCCTGTTATAGGAAAAAACAACATTCATCCTGCTGATACATAGATTGTCGTGGTTTTTTATTTTTTATTTTTTATTTCTTTTAACTAATGGGACCCACAAGTTCTTGTTAGTGCAGGAATGGATTCAATTTTGCCTGTAACATAACATGTATAATTCCATATATATATATATATATATATATATATATATATAACTGCCAAAAAGTCACATCCCAATTGCTCATGTTTTAAGGATCGCATCCTTGAATCATGATATCCCGAGAAAAACCTTTTAAACCCAAGTCTTTTATTTCACGGATTTCCATTACCTATTTACACCTATGTTAAAATTGAATATGGTAATTGATCAATATTTTAGGAGAAAAATTATGTCTTTTTTTTTTATTTGAATAAACCAAAGTATCCTACAAAAAAAAAAAAAAAAAAAAATCTTGTTTAATTGGAAACATCCACGTCATAGTGAACTCTCCCAAAGGAATTTTCTTTTCATTATTCAATAAGAAGCTAGAGAGGATAAGAGAATATCTACAACTAAATTTTGAATTAAAATAAGAATAAAAAAGAGAGATTATACTTACTACCTCTTTTTCTTATTACATTTTACTATCAAATCTTAACTGTTGATTTCTGACAGTCTAATGGTTATAATTTATTGAAAATTAATAATTCATCAATAAATATGATCCAATAAATTAAAACCGTTAGATTGACGAAAATCAACAGTTAAAATTTAATAATAAGAGATAATAAGAAAAGAGGTAGTAACTATAACCTCTTGAAGAAACAATATAACTTATTATCCCTGGAAAGTAATGTTCACATTTTTATCTTTATCTCTAATATGATGGGATGTGATCTCCACATCTTTATTTTTTCCCCTAATACTCCTCCTAAATTGAGAGGGAGGCAACAAATACTCAAATTGTAAAAAAGGTCATGAAACAAAGCTAACAAATTAAATAAGAGGCAAAGCATCTAGTAAGCAAGACAAAAGAGACAACAGCGGTTGCATGCTATGTAGCACCGATACGACACGCGACATGTGACACGACACGACACTCCGACACGTCAATCTTAAAAAATTATGGATTTCGACACGTTGGGACACGTTTTAATATTAAATAATATTTTTAATTTATATAGAGTATATTTCATTTAATATTTAATAATTTAACAAAAAAATAAAACTAAATTAATAATACCCATCAACACGTTATAAAGATGGAAGCTTTAATAAAAAAAATAAGAACTGGGATGAGAGAGATATATAATATCAGATAGAGAGATCAAATCATATTAGAGAGAGATACAACAAGAGCGTGATGAGAATTGACAACAATGATGCTGAGATGATCTCTTATCTACTTAAGGGGAAAAAAGACAAAAAGATAAAATTGATATGATCAGGTGGAAGCTTTATTAATATATTTTAACTTTTTAAAAAAAATAATTTTTTTATAAAATAAAATAAAAATTAAAATAAAAAAATTTACGAAAATGTCATTTGACCGTGTCGGACACGGTCAAATTCGCGTGTCGGAATAGTCAACGTGTCGGAAAAAGTCAACCGCGTGTCCGACACCGTGTCGGAGCGTGTCGGACCCGACTCTTCCTGTTTTTACAAGTGTCCGTACTTCCTTGGTTGCAAGCATCTCGTAAGAGAGCCCTTTTAGGGACTCAAATGCATACAATGGATAGGCCTTCACGCCAAGAGGCTTATAGAATTAAAGAGGGGACATAGGCCCATCAACTACATATGGCGCAAAGGGCATAACAGGCATCTTCTAAATCTGTTTGGTGTGACGTATAAGGCATATACGTTATGACATTTTCGGTTGTTTGGTGTGACCACTGTATAGTATAAACTTATACAGCATAATTCTTTAATACATCAAAACGATGTATAACTTAGTCCAGCCTAAGAGTGAGGGATAAGACCTGATAAAAGATTGATGTATTAATATCGTTGACCAATGTAATTCTCAAAAATTAATATATTATTTTAATGTTAATCTATTAAAATAAAAATTTATTTTTCAATATATTAATTTTTAAAATATTGAATATTTTTATTATAAAAATTAATTTATATTTTAGACACACTGATCATTAAATTTTTATAAAAATTAATATATATGACATTTTTTGAAGAATTATATAAATTCTTTATTAAAGGATATTTTTATTAAAAATATTTATTTTTATCATAGATAGTATTATACAGTGCATTACCAAATACTAGATGATATTATTTTATACAATACCGTGCCAAACGCTTGATAGTATCAAATTCAATCAGGTCTTATACAATCAAGTCTTATACTATCAAATCTTATACTATCAGGCCTTATCTTATACTATACACCAAACATGCCCTAAATGAAAAGAGACAGCAGAAGCAAGCAACATTGTGGACAAGGGATCAAAATTCTTCAAGCGTACTAAATGACGAGATTGCACTCGCACACGATAAATATTGTGAATGAATTATCATATATTTTTTATTATTCAATCTAAGACCTCTAAAACCTATTTGGTGTAATTGTATAGTATAAGCTTGTACAGCAAGATCTATTAATCAGGCCTAAGAGGATCGGATTAAGCCTGATAAGGAGTTGATGTATTAATCAATACAATTCTCAAGAATTAATATATTATTTTAATATTAGTATATTAAAATAAAAAATAAATTTTTAATATATAATTTTTTAAAATATTGAAGATTTTTATTTTTGTAAAAATTAATATATTTTTTGAACACATTGATCAGCATATTTCTATAAAAAAATAATACAATCTGATATATTTGGAAAAATTATGTAAATTCATTATTAAAAGGTATTTTTGACAAAAATATTTATTTTTAACCTATCTAGTATTATACACTGTATTACCAAACATTGGATGATATTATCTTATATAATATATTATCTTATACAATATCATACCAAATGCTGGATAATATTAAAATTTAATCAGGTCTTATACTATCATTCCTTATCCTATATTATTTACCAAACATGCCCTTGTATGAAGGTGTGGCCGGAGCACATATTGTCTTTTCAGATTTGTGCTTTTTGGCAGCTATCTGGCATTGGGTCTATTGGGATCTAGAAATATTTTGTGATGAACGTACTTAAAACACGTATCTACAACTAACTTCCAAAATAAAATACAAATACAAATCATCTAGAACTTTAAGAGGATTCCTAAACACTACATTGCTGGCTGTTCTTTTAGCTAGAATATTAGCTATCAGATTTACTTTCATTCTGATGAGTAATACTACTAGAACTTCCTGCATTTGTCATTTGAGCTTCCAACAATTCTGCCATCTGATATAAACATTACACATTTAATTTTGAGTCAGTTTAAACTTTAAAAAAGTTAAATGCATAACAAGGAAGCATACATCAAACCCTTTGTTATAAGGCCAATACGCAATCATTAATGTATTTGAGCAGTTTGTGTAGAGAGTTAGGTATGTATCCTTAAAGGGAGTAGTATGTCACTGTGGAAGTGCTCTTAGAGGCGATGATATATATCAAAGCTGTTGAAGGAGTTACCATGTGAGTATCTCAGTGAGGTTGAGAGGAGGGATTGTGTGATGGCGATATGATTATATTTTTTTTGCAGAGTAACACACCTCATAAATACAATGGATGCAAGATACTCTTCAATGAGAGAATGAGATAATAGACATATATATAGGTGGGACATATTTTCAAATGATATGATAAGAGAAAGGGGTGAGTTACTATTATCTCATTTATGTGAGTGAGGTAACATACCAACAAATGTATGATGGTGAGATGTATTGTGGAGTGAGAAATCCTCTGGCATGAGTTCTACGATTCTCACTATAATGAGGCACGAAAATGACCCCTTAATTGAACCTCTAAGAGCCTGCCCATAACTTTAAACTGTGAGGCCGGTCCATAATAATTATATGTCGTTGATTTGATTTACAGAATAAGAATTTTGTTTTCTTCAAAGGCTCTGTACCCAGGTTCTGTTTTCTTCAAAGTATAGGATTTTTGTTTTCAAAAGCTTAAGAAGCTGAAATTAATTAATAAGAATAATAATAAAATAAAACAGTTTTTATTTAGCCAATCAATAAAATCCAGTTACACAACTTGTTATGCAACCTTGTACTAAAAAAAAAACTAGTTATGCAACTTTAACAAATTATACCATTTTTTAAGACATAAATATCACATGCTAATATGCTCAAACATTATATTGAAAAAATTGTTAGAAACCAAAGTCTCCTATACTTTGTAGAGTACTTGAAAATTGACAGTTATCTAAGGCACTCAAAAACTTTATGCTCTATATAGCTTATCAATGTCTAATTCCATACACAAAAGGGCCGACCCAGTTCAAATACCAACATCTTAAAAATTGCATAACAGAAGATTTGAATAAAAATTGCAACTTTATAGAAAATATAAAACTTAAAATCTCATCACCCCATTGTCAAACATGACAATCACATGAAAAATGCAGTCACCTAACAGAGAAGTAAGCATTTGATAAGTCCAAAAATGTCTAATTTGGAAAACCTACATATCTCAGAAAAAAATTATTTGGGAGTTGAGACTGATTTGGGGTATAGAAAGATAAAACCAGGTATCCTAGAATTGATAATTGTAAAATTCAAAATCTTTAATTTCTGGCCATTGATTACCAAAAATAAAATTTAATTCTACATGCTATGATTTCCAAAGATACCTGTGAAAGATCATGTTGAACGACGACTATTGCATAGATGCCCAAACTGATTCCAATTCTCCCCACAGTGGTAGCAGAATTGGCATCCACACCTGGAAAGAGAAAATGTAGTTATTATAATGATTTCCCCAAGCTTTCATTATAATGATATAATAATGAAATACATAGATTGATTGATACTTAAAAAAGATGTGAAAATGGTTAAGGTGGGGATACAAAAATACAATTAACCTGCATAGCATGTGTTCACATCCACTACGTCTTTGAACATACATATAGCATTTGGGACATTTCTGCCACATTTTCCCTTTGGCTAACTCCAAAAACTTCGTATCCAAGTCCTTTTCAATTTTACTCCTTTTCAACTTTCGGAATTCGTTGCAATTCATTTCTGCATGCCATGGAACCTTACACTGCGCACAAAATAGTCTATGACAGGAGGGGCACTCAGAACTGGTAACAACTTTTCCTCCATCATTCACCAACAAAACAGAGCAATTCTTAAAGGGGCAATAAGTCTTTTCCGACACAGCAATTGAAGACTCGCATCTAGCAGATTCCCAACGATCAATAACTTGTTTAGGCAAAATGATTTGCAAATGTTTTGGCTTCAATTCCACAGAACATTTTGGATTTGGACAATTCACCTTGAGAATATTTTGCTGTATTTGATTGGCAACATACTTGGATATGCAATCAGTGCAAAAGGGGTGGTTGCATTGACATCTTCTGAACATATGAGAGTCTGGTTTGAAATCAAAACATACACCACAACAATGGAGTTTTGAGGTTTGACCAGTGGCTGGTTTCTTCTTTCCTTCAGGAACGAGAGTTATTTTCGTCTGCTGGAATTGTTTGTTGAGCACACTTTGGTGGTTTATTTGACCTGCTGATGAGTTTGGGTGTTCTTGATCTTTCCATGATACTCTCTTCTTCGGCACGTGCATGAGAGGATCTTTCGTGGCTGGTTTCGTCTTTCCTTCAAGAACGAGAGATATTTTCGTCTGCTGGAATTGTTTGTTTAGCACACTTTGGTGGTTTATTTGACCTGCTGATGAGTTTGGGAGTTCTGGATCTTTACATGATACTCTCTTCTTCGTCACGTGCTTGAGAGGATCATGGAAAGTGCCAGAACTCCCAATGGCTGCTTTCTCCTTTCTTTTCATCACTTTATATGTGACTAATTTCTATCTGCTGATTTCGTTTTTAGAAGATATGTTAGGATCAAAGGAGTGTGAAATCTGTTTTAGGGTTTCAGGTGTGTGCTGTAGCACAACAGAAATCTTAGGGAAGAAGGAGAAGAGTGGGAAATATATATAGAGAGAGAGAGGCGAGTGAAGAAGAAGTTAGAGAGATCAGCAAACGTGATTCGTACGCGATCCCCACTAACCCACACAATATGGAGCACATCTTTTGTGATAGTATAATATGTACTCCTTTACTAAAAAGAAAAAATAATGATGGTTTTGAGAAAAATAATCATACAAACAAGGGTAAAATAATAAAAAATATATATTATATTTTTTAAATTAAATAAATAATGCAGTATTACTATAGTACCGAAGATATTTCCCACGATATGGGTATTTTAAGTCTACAGAGTACAGATTAAAACGGTGGAAGGTGGATAACACCCCAAGCTCAGTTGTTGTATCACTTACCCGGTCACATGATCATTCAAGGGTCCGTTTGTTGGATAAGGACGGATAGGATGGAACACAGATAATAAGAAATGATAACTGACACTACATTTTCTATTATTTATTTAATGCGCATTAAATAAATATGAAATATGATATTATATTTTTTTTTTCATACCTGGATCTGTAACAAAAGAAGGAGAATGGAGAATTGGTGAGATAAGAGTAGAGAGAGAGATAAATTAGAGAGAGGATTGTCCAACTTTTCCCTCTTTTCTATTCCAGCCCTTCTTTGACTAGATACTCGTATCACTTGCATTATTCCTGTTTCTATTTGTCTGGGTTTTCATTACAACATCTGTTAACACTATAAAGTGGACCGACTATTGAAAATAGTCTGCTAAGTAATTGGGCTTCTTTCTAACTCTAATGGGTCTGTTCTCATTCAGTCCATCCAAGTGAGTCGCAACACTTACACTTTTTTGTTTGTGGATTTTTTTTTCCTTCTTCACAAGTACTGACTGAGGTGTGTATTTCCTTCTTCTTTTTTTAATCATATTTCCTTTTTTTTAATAATGAAAAAAATGATTCTATTTAAAAAAATTAATTTTCTTTTAATTCTTCTCCTTTTTTATTTTTAGAAGAGAGAAAGGGAGAAGATTAAGATTTCTCAGATAAAATTAGTTGTTGAAGATTAAGATTTCCTTTTCCTTTCCTTTTTTATTTCCTTTGTTGTTCGAGAAACATGATAGGAGTATGTATTGGAAATGAATCCTCTCATATTAAAATTTCACATTACTTGAATAAGAAGAAATAGCTACCAAAAGCTCACACATCGAATGTTATGTTATAAGGATCCTCAAAATTCAGCATCTAATATTTTGAATCATGGTATCCCGAGTAAAACTTGTTAAACCCAAGTCTTCCATTTCTTAAAAGCTTGCCACACCGATTTTCATGAATAAGATAAGGATAATAAATAATATTAGTTATTGAATTGTCATGTGGTCAAGAGAACCGAGTATGTATCCCTCAAGGAGTGTAATATATTTATCTCGGAGTACTCTTAGTGGCAATGGTATAGACCAAAGCTCTTATGGGGTTTTTCAAGTGCTGTATAACAGTAGGGGTGTTTAGCGGTTATAGTGATTTTTCCAGTGAACAGAGTAACAACTCATAGAAGTAATAGAACATTGATGATCTCTTGGTGAGTGAAAGTAGATTTTCCTTGTCTTTTTTATAATTGTTGAGCTATACATGGTGTAAACTTGGACATATTACTTTTGATGGATCATTCTAGTTGGGCTAAGTCTTTTATTCTTATATTATCTGACTTTGTGGTTGATTTTGTGATGCAGATTGCGTGACTTGGTTTTATCCCTTATGAGATTTTTGGGCTTGTATGAATGCTTTTCATCTTCTTCCATTCTCTCTTTATTGTGTGCTTCTCTTCACGATTTTATTTTTCTAGAACTTGCTCTTTTTCTTTTTAAAATTGTATTTTTCACCTATATGCATAAATATGATAGAGTCATTCTTTCTTTTGTTTTTTTTTTTCACTTTGACCAGATAGCCACCCTTACATTGGTTAGCCCTTTTGTGCTTTTTTGTATCCTTCTTTTCTTAGCCACATTACTAACCTAAGTGAAAAACAATATGATTCCACACCTAGAAAATTACTGATTTCACTTTTGTTTTGTGTTTAAGTGTGGGGGTTTGCTCGGCATGTGCAACTTTTTAAGTGTAGAGGGAGGCATTTTATTTCATTTTATTTTCTACCATTCTTCATTTTTAAATTGTTATGTAAAAAGAAAACAGAAAAAAATTAGAAGAAGAATAGAAGAAAAGAAAATAAATAAATAAATAAAAAGAAAAAATATATGAAAAAAATAATATGTATATTTAAGTGATTTTGTATTCTTTATTTTGGTTTTAATTTTGTTCCTTTAGTTTAATTCTTAATCAACGCTCTTTAAATTTTTTGGGTATTTAGCCTCTCATTTTCATTCTTATCCATACTTTCATCTCAGCCCTGTTACAACTTTAAATAAAGTCCTTTTGATATGTGAATCCATTTGTTATTAGTAGTGGAGAAGTAGAATAGAACATGAGCAAACTTATGGTATAAAAATTTTCTTTAGTAGAATTTGAGTGATACACTTATTTTATTTTATTTTTGTAAATAGAGTGATACACTTATTTACCCTATACACCTGAAAGAGTAATTGAGAACATCCTTTGATAGACCAATTTACATAATTAGCATTATCAATTGAGATTATCAGGTTTTGTGATTTGAGATAAATGAATTTCTATCTTGATTGGTTGATCTAATGAAGCTTTGAGATCCTTGCTCATCTTTTGTATTCTTTGCAATTGTTAGAAATGATAAGTTTAACTTTTAGTCTTTATTTTTGTTCTGTCATTTCTTTAGTTTTGCTTTAAGTTTTTGGTTTAATCCAGAAGTACAAAAGAATAAGTGCGAAGAATTTGACAATTAATATTTATTACACTTATTTGTGCTCTTAATTAATAGTTTTAAGATTGTTTATTGTGAAAATAAAGGACTTTTGAGCTAAATTAACTAGTTGGGCTCTTAATTTAATTTAATTTGTTTTTATCATAAATTTCCAAATTTACTTTACTCCAATATTTTGATCATAACTCTTGCTACAGGTGATTTGGATTTTTTCTTGGAATAGAGGTTCAGAGAACAACTTCCAGAGAACTAGGGGTTTGTTTGAATCTGTTTTCAAAAACAAGTATTTAATTTTCAGAACAAAAAAAAAAAAACTCGTTTGTTAAGGGCTCATTTGTATTGCCTTTTCAAGAAAGTCTTTTTTATCACTTCCTTATTTTAAAAGTACTTTCTATAAAAGTTATAGCTACTTAGATTTTTAAAAAAATATTTGACTTTTGACTTCTGCTTTTTTAAAAAGCTAAAATTTTTAGCTTCCGAAAAAAGTAGATTTTTGGCTTTTTTATGACTTGTGCTTTTTTTAAAAGCAGGCATCCAAACAGACTTTTTTCGAAAAGTGCTTTTTTTTTCTTGAAAAAAGTAGCTTTTGAAGAAGAAAAAGCCCATCCAAACGGGCTCCAAGGCTTGTTTTTTAAAAATAGTTTTAAAAATTATAACTATTTTTTAGTTTTTAGAATCAAATTTAGAAAACATATCAGAGTAATTTATGTTTTTCGTTTTGGCTTTAACTTAAAAAAAACACATAAAACATTTATTTCATTAACTATTCTACAAAACAATTTTAAGGAACAAAAAAACACAATCAAATAGACCCTAGTTCTCTCCCAATCCAAATACATCAAGGACTTACTCATCAAAGGCAACATGGCGTAAGCTAAAGGGTTGCTATATTGGATTTGAATTAGATTTCAGCGGATCAATCTATATTGATTGACTGCCTCCATTATGTTCTTGCTAGCAAAGACCACTATTTTTGGCTTTGGATCTTCCAAATCATTCCCGCAAGAGGTCTGTGTGAAACCAATGCGCTTAAAATGAAGAGTTCAATCATGCAAAAGTTTTGATGATAACAAACAAGCATAGAAGCGACATTAAGGATAATACAACTCGCAACAATCAAAAGTCCTAGGAAGCAATTCAAACAAGACAACAAGAGAAAATCATTCAACACACAAGATCAATATTGAAACATGCTCTTGAGAGCTTAGATCTAAATGTAAAGGTAATTGATTAATGATGCATAAATGAGCTCAAAGGGCATTTAACTCTATGCATGCATTATCCATGTCATCAATCACTTGAAAGCTTTGATTATTATGAAAAAGACCCTTGATATGTTTTATAACCTCAAAACATTCTGTACAAGTCAAGGAAATACATTAAAAGTGATTAGAGACTAAAAGAGAAGCTTTACAACTCATAAAACTGCATAATTGATGATCTGTCTAAGAAAGTATTCGAATACTCCATTGGCTGTATTCGAATACTTGTGCTGAGAACAAAGTATTCGAATACCTTGATAAAAGTATTCAAATACCAGTTGAAGTATTCGAATACCTCACGAATAATATTCGAATACTTACTGGACAGTAAGCAGTATAACGGCTATAAATGGCTATTAACGGCTAGTTTTGCGAAAATGAGTGTTCAAAGGGTCATGGGGGGCCCTCTATAAATAATGATCACTATTCACATTGATGGGACACCTTTCTTAATCATTATTCTTGCTTTATTTCACATCATTTGCTTACTTTCCATCATCTTGATCATAAATCACCTTTGAGCTTTAATATTGTGTCATTGATCAATACCTAGCTTCAACTTGTATAATCTGTACTTCAAGAGTACAAATCCTTTTCTAAATACTCTCAATCTGTTCATTTGTGTTGAGGGTATTGAGACCCTAGTGAAAGAGGTTGCTCATAACCTAAGTAAGTGAGTGGAAGTGTAAAGGTTTCACGAATCAATATTCTTGAAGGTTGTAGTGGTTTGTCAAGCACCCTTGAAGCTTGATAATTAATGGAAAGTTGAACGGGCGGTTTCAATCTGGACGTAGGTCACGGTGGTGGTGACCGAACCAGGATATATAGTGTTTGCAAACTCTCTAACTCTCTATCTCTTTATATTAGCATTATTTGATTACTTGAGCTTATTTATCTCTTCACTTTATATACCACTTGCTTGTGTTAATTTCTATTCTCTAAGCTTTACTTGTGTCAAATTATATTAACTCAAGAAAATCGATTTCAAGAAAGGAAGTGAGGCATATTGTGAAAATATTTTTAAAACTCAATTCACCCCCCTCTTGAGTTTGAGGCCACTTGTCCAACAGTCTGGACATATTTTTTATAAATCTTTGATAAAAAGATTCATTCTCTTCATAAAAAATAGGAGGTAGAACCAATAAAGATTTTTTTTTTCGATTTCTTTACCCCTCTTCCATCAGGCTGCGAACTCTTCAAATATAGATCCAATTCTTATTCATATTATTCCTTTTATCGCTCCATAGGTAGGGTTCTGAAATATGCAACTCTTACTCTGTCAAAAATCAATTATGTTGTGAATAAAGCGTGACATTCATGGCTCAGCCACTTGAATAGCATTAGACTGTTGTCAAACAGATTTTGCAGTATCTTAGAAGGACTTTGCATCATGGAATGTTGCTTAAACCTTGCAATCCCAATCATATTTTCTCTATCATAGCTTTTTGTGATGTTGATTGGGCCAGTGACCCAGATGATCGCAAATCCACCTGACGCGCTTGTGTATTTTTTGGCTTAAACTTAGTCTTTTGGTGATCCAAGAAACAAAATCTAATTGCACGCTCTAGTAATGAAGCAAAGTATCGCAGTCTAGCTCTAGCTACTGCTGAAGTACTTTGGCTCAAATTGCTTCTTCAAGAGCTCCATATTTAGTTCACTACTCCCCATATTTTCTGTGACAACTTAAGCACAATGTCTCTTTCCCATAATCTGTGCTCCATGCCAAAATAATTCGTATAGAGTTATATATCTTTTTGGTCAAATAGTGTGTTCTTGCTAAGGAAATTCGTATCTATCATGTGCTAGCATTGGATCAAATTGCTGACACTCTCACCAAGAGTCTCTCTGTTTCTTGTTTTGCTACATTAAGGGACAAACTAACTGTGGTGGACTCACGTTTTGCTTTATCCACCTTGAGTTTGAGGGGGCTTATTAATGTAAATATGAAAGTACAACTTTTGTAATGTCTATTGAGTAGTAGAGATATTTTTGTAACTAGTCTAGTCTTATACTATAGTCTGAGTTGTACTTGATTCCTACCTCAGTTCAATTTCAGCAAACTGATTACTATTATAACAGAGTAGCTACTAGCTGTCGTGTCACCAATGTAAATAAGCTCTATAAAGAGCATATGTGTATCGTTTCTAATCACTTATCAAAGATAAAAACTATTCAGATATTCAGATTTGTCTCTCTCCTCATTTCTCTATTATCTTTCTTTCTCTTTCACTCATTTTTCTCGAATTTCTCTGATCAGATCACAATTTTAACCAAAAGTAGGAGGAGATACAAAAAATTAAAGTTAAGTTGATGTTATAATCTAATTATATGTATAGAATTTTGTTTATCTCTAAAATTTCTTAGGAGAAATGTGCTATATATTCTTGCTAGTTTGCTACATTTTGTCATTTATACTTTATTGCTGCCTTATTGCATTTTGTTTTAATTATATATTTTTAAGAATAAGAGTATTTCATTTTAGGGTAAAATATGTATCATTTTTTTTTTTTTGATAACAACGTGTATCATTTTAAAGGATGTAAAGTTGTGTCATTTTAAGAGAGAGAAAAAGATAGATAAAGAAGGAGAGAGAATTGACAAAAAAAATAAAGGTGTGGGTCTCACTTCTTTGTAAGAGTGAAAAGATATAAATTATGTCATTTAAAAGAATAATCATTTTTCCCTTCATTTTAATGTCATTACCTTATATTTTGTGGTTTGCAATGCCCTTCTTATGCAAACTTTTTTCTTACACATATCCGATAAAGAAATTAAGATTTATCTTACAAAATTTTAACAAAGTCGTGATCCGCACATGCCCTCCAAAACGAAATCTGACCATTAAAATTTTTCTATCGACGCCCATTAGTTTTCCATGTAACAAACCACGGATCATAAACTTAAGCCGTCGATTAATCCGAATCCAACGACCGAGATCAAAATTCAAAACTCACATGCCTCCTCTTCCCGCTTCAATATAAATATCCCAGTCACCTTCGTCATTAACCATTCGAGTCAAAATCAACACCCAAAATCTTCAATTTCAATTTTCTCGGGAAAATGTCTGGTCGCGGGAAAGGCGGTAAGGGTTTGGGGAAAGGAGGCGCGAAGAGGCACAGGAAAGTGCTGCGCGACAACATCCAGGGAATCACGAAGCCTGCGATTCGGAGATTGGCTCGGAGAGGTGGCGTGAAAAGGATAAGCGGGTTGATCTATGAAGAAACCAGAGGTGTTTTGAAGATTTTCTTGGAGAACGTGATTCGCGATGCTGTGACGTACACGGAGCACGCGAGGAGGAAGACGGTGACCGCCATGGACGTGGTATATGCTCTCAAGAGACAGGGAAGGACCCTCTATGGGTTTGGAGGTTGAAGAAAGCACTTTTTCTATTTTTAATTTTAAAATAATGTATTACTACAATTTATGCGTTTTAGCTTGTAACATGTGAATTCTATGAAATATGTGATAGGATATTGTGACATTCAAGTTATGTTACATCCATGTGACACTCAGTTAATCTCACCTTATATTGATTTAATGGTTATATTTATTTTCATCTTTGTATGTTCATGATTTCTTAAATTTAATATTTTATATTTATTTCTATCTTTGTATAGTTATGATTTTTTATATTTAATATTTTTACCTTAAATTTGGGAAATCATGACATACAAAAATGGAAATAAATATAAGTATTGGATCAACATAAGCGATCTAACAATGAGATTGATTAGGTGTCACATGGATGTAACATAACTTGAGTCTGAGAATATCCTATCTCATGAAATATTAAGTGCTTCTCAAGTTGTGAGCTAATTTACTTGTTATTTATGTTATCTTTTTTTTTTTTTGATAACATTATTTATGTTATCTTTAATAAAGTAAAAAGTAAATTTGTTAAAATGATATTAAAAATCACTCATATTGGTAAATTTGTTAGTATAAAGTAATTTTTCTACCCATTTGTCTTAAAACAAACGCATTTGATTTGATTGGTAAGCATAAAAAATTATGCAATACATAACGTCAACACTATTACATATAAAATAAATTCAAAGGTAGATTATCTTTTTATTCATTATTAATGACTTGACTAGTAAATGAGAATCTTTATATGAAAGGTTCAAAAAAAAAATAATCATGTGTTCTTAAAGAATTGGAAGAGACCCTTGTTCTATAGAAAAAATCAATTTAATTTCAAACTCATTATTCGTGATTTTTTTTTTTCGCTATTTGAATTTTTGGAATGTTATGATATGTATTAGGGTTTATAGGATATTTTGTTGCATATTATTTTATAACTGTTCTTAACTATCTATTAAGGTAATATATAATTATAATATTAAAATTATTATTTTTTTCCTGCACTTCAATAACTTGAATATTTTAATGAAAAAAGTTCATCAACGCTCCCTGAGGAAACTACAAGAGCATTAGTGAATCTTTCTCTATTTTAATTGTATATTATATATAGTTAAAAAATAATTGCAGAATAAAAAATTTATTCCTATAACATAATACTTATATTTTTGTATGCATTTTTATGCTCTCAAATTATTTTTCGGTGTATGTAGATGTAGAGTGTTTAGTTATGTGGATTTTTTTTTTTCAAATTTTTTTTAATGAGATTTGCGTATTTATTTTGGAGAGCTCATTATTTTCTATTTCTCGTTTCTAGTTTACGCAGATGTCTTTACGTTATGCCATTTGAGCTATTGAAAGGTCTCAACCCTTAAAATAATAGTAATGAATTCTCTTCTCATTAAAAAATTATAAAAGCTGTTTTGCCAGTCCATAAAATTAAATATTTCTGCTATCAAAAAAATTAAATTAAATATCTTCCATCGAAAAATAACTTTTAAGGCTTATCAAATAGACAAAAATATGATTGAGGCACTCGTGAATGATCGAATAGCCTCCTTTTACGAGAAACAATTGAAACATTATTTACGGTTCTTCCTAGCTTTCAGCCTAACAACCAAATGATCATTACAATTATAATGGGCAGGATTACATTTATAAATTTTTATGTGTATATTATTTGAGTATGTATTATCCCTAGTATATAATATAATTTATAAAAATTAGATTATAAATATAACTTACCCTATTCAATCTAACTTACCCCTATTATATTTATAGAAAAACATTGTTACGAGTATATAAAAAAAATGAAACGTTAACAAGATTTCATTCTTTTAATAGTCGTATATATTCTACTTCGAAGAATTTAGATTAAAAAAAAAAAAACGTAAGTGATTTTCTAACCTCTGTTGAATATTATGAAATACACTACATTTTAGGCACAAAAAAAAATTAATTATTGCATTTTAATTAAATAATTACACATTTATTCAGTTTTGGAAATAATTACGGATCTATTGCACAATGTGACCCCTTTTTTGGGCGTCACATGTGACGCCTCTTTTAGGCGTCTCTCACCTGAATGGGCCGTCTCTCATGAGGTGTTGACACGTGTCATTTTTTTTTTCAAAAATAATAATAATTTAATCAGAAAACTTATGAAGGCCATAACTTTTGACTCGGGTATCCAATTCAGGTAATTCTTTTTTTAATTCCACATTACTTTTCAAGATCTACGCAAGGACATCTCATTTGATATATTTTATTTCTCACAAACATAATTTAAATTTAAATCAGGTAATACTTCTTCTTTAGATATTTAAAATATTTATTTAATTATTTTCTTTATTAATACATATTTTTCAAATTGATTTTTGAGTTTAAATGACAAATCAAATCTTTATTTTGTTTTCCTTAGTAATAATAATTGTTACTTTTAATTTAAATCACAAACCAAATTTTTTTATAATAAAAATAAAAAAATTTATTTTTTAAATTAAATCACACATCAAATCTTGATTTATTTTTTATATTAAATCACAAATGCAGAACTCAGAGGCTTATAGTTTCAAAATGTGACACGTGTCAACACCTGACACGTCATCAATCACGTCTAAATTGGATTTCAATCAAGAGGCAATCACGCCTAATTTAGGTGATTTTATTTTTGAAAAACATTCATAAGCCATCATTAATTTCAGACCACGAATAATAACCCAGAAACTTATAGCATTAATCATTAATTTCAAAAATAATATCTTCTTCTTTAGTGATTTTAAATATTTATTTAATTATTTTCTTTATTTCTACAGATTTCAAATCTTTATTTTGTTTTCCTTATTAATAATAATTTTTATTTTTATTTTAATTTAAATCACAAACCAAAATTTTTTAAAATTAAAAAAAATATTACAAAAAATAAATAAATTACAAATCAAAATTTTATTTATTTTTTATATTAAATCACAAACCCAGAACTGAGAGGCTTCTTGGTTTAACAGCTCTTATAATACCATTCTTGCAAATTAAAATTGTGTTTGTGAGAAATAAAATATGTCAAATAAGATGTCATTGTGTAGATATCGAAAAGTTATGTGGAATCAAAAAAAGAATTACCTGATTTAGATACACGAGTCAAAAGTTATGGCTTTCAGAAGTTTTATAATTAAATTATTATTTTTTTTAGAAAAAAATATGACACATGTCAACACCTCATGAGAGACACCCCATTGGGGCGTCTTCCCTTTGGTGAGAGACGCCTAAATGAGGCGTCACATGTAACGCCTATAAAAGGCGTCACATTGTGCAATGGATCCGTAATTATTTTCAAAATTACAATAAATACGTAATTATTTAATTAAAATGCAATAATTAAATTTTTTTGCCCTACATTTTGTGGGTCTTCAGATTCATAGGTCTTGTTTAATGTTTTCTCTTGGGGGGTTTGATTGAGCATAAATTTTTTGAATACTAGGGAAATATAATTACTAGGAAAATGAATTTGGTAGGAAAATATAAAAAATGTTGTTTGGTTGATCGAAATATTACCAGAAAAATTTATTTAAATTTGCAAAATCTATGTTCGGAAGAAACTTGGCACCTGTTTTTTCACTTCCCCAGTTATCTCAAGATATCACATCTCAACTGGTATTCCATAACAGTGAATTTCATCCAAAAATCAACACAAAAGTCATTTTTCCATCTATCCTATTTGCCTAGTATTTTTTTCAAAAACCTGAATCAAACGTGGTATTTTCTAATATCCACTTACACTTTTCCCTCAATCCCAAAATAAATCTTCTACCAAACACTACCTTGTACGTCGAAAGTGTATCAATTTCCTGGAATTGTCAAACGGGTCTTTCTTCTACTACCAGAGACAGAAGAAATTGATAACGAAGGAACGTGCTGACAGCTAGCAAACACCTTTGGTCTATCTATATTTTCTTGGGTCACAATTTCGTTAATAAATACACATTTTTCTTTTTGAAATTTTTTTTTCATAGTCCTCACCTATCTTTTCATTAATAAAATAAACAAAATTATCAAATAGTTATTAGACCCACGTAAAATGATATTCCTTTATTATTATCCTCTCTATTTTTTTTACAAATGTTTAAAAATAAGAAACAAAATAAAAAAATGATATTTTAGTAATTATTAAAAAAATTAAAAAATTGCTTAAACTAATTATCACTAAAAGTTCTTTTGTACGAAATTTTCTTCCTTCAAAAAGTAGCTTTTTTAAAAACAAAGTGCTTTCTATTTAATATGTACATTTGAATACAATTTTTAGGAGTTTAATGTTTCCATTTTTGTTATAAATTTTTTTTTGTCACAATTACATAAAAGTAAGTGGGTCCTATTACAAACAGAAGAGAGAAATTTTTTTTATAAAACCAACTCATCTTTACATAAGTGTAATACTCTAAAAAAATATGAAGCCATAAATTAAATATTTTTCTTAAAATTTAAGTTTGTTCCAATCACATCCCACTACTTCCACCCACAGCCATCGCTATCATTACATGTCATTTTTAATATTTTTATGGATTTATTTTTTCTGCATTACTACATATAAGTTATTTGCAGTAAATCTAATATGATGTCGGGCAAAAATCATATATTTTTGTAATCTTAATTTATTTTAGGGTTATTATAATTTTTATAATTATAATTTTTAATCTTTCAATTCCAAAACGACATCGTTTTGAAAGTAAATGCAGATAACTTATCTGCATTAACTACAGAAATATTTTTCTGTATTTTTATATACTGTATCCAAGTACAAAATAACTTCTAACTTAAAAAAAAAATTAAATGAAAAAATATGAATTGTTTTAAAGGACATAACTTTAAATTCTTTTAAAATGGATAGATACAAAGAGACGTGGATCTCACTAAAAAAAATAAAAATATAGATCTTTTTTCTTTGTGTCTATTTTTTTCTTAAAAGATACATTTTTTCAATTCCATTATATTCAAAAAAAAAAGAAAAAGAGAGAGACATTTTTTCCAAAAATTAAATACAATACATAAAAAGTAATTTTTTTTTTTCAATAATTCATCTAAATGGCCTCTAAAAGCAAACCCCAGGACAGGACCATGAAACCGCGTAGTGACTAAGGCTGGTGGCACCCATTGACCTGGAAGTGTTTTCAAACTTTTATTTTTTTTCTTGGCTGCTCATGCTTTGACTTGTTAGCATGTAAATTGTACGACTTTTACTTATAAATTCTTAACTTTAAAAAAAAAAAGAAAAAAAAGTACTTGTTAGGCTTTTAATTGTCAAAAGGCTGGAACAAAATCTGTTTTGAAAAACAGGTATGAATCAAATAACATGTGGAAGAAAAAAAATATATAAATAAATTTTTGAAAGCAACTTAAACCAACTTCCTTTTAATTTTTGGTTACTGAAGATGATATGGAAAATTAGCCTTAGCTTCTGCAAATGAAGAAACCAATAGGCCCCAGTATCCAAGAGAGTGGTGCAGGCAATAACAACAATGGCACACGAAGGCACAATCATAAAGATCAAAGTGGCATGAAATATTCATGTGGGGGTGTTTTTACTTTTTTTCTCTTCTCTGGGAAAGGAAAAACATCCTCAGATGCTGTTGAAAGTGATGACAGAAAGAATACACACAAAGTCAGAGGTGGATCATGTAAGTCTGATGAATAATATGTGTTTTCTTTTGCCATTTGATTATGTGAACTGTTTTTTTTCTTTGTGCTTGTTCATGGTCAACCCTTTATGTATGCTGTTATTGAAGGAATGATTTCATCTTAGTGCATAGTCTTGGGTTTTCCAAAATTAAGATTTGTTTGAATTTGCAGCTTCAACAGATGTATCATCTAATAGTTCGAGGAGTTCATCAAAATGGAAGTTTTCTCATTCTTCAGCAGCATCATCTAGTGCTTCAAGTAGTCAACTTGGAATGGGAAACTTCACCTTTGAGGAAATTTACAAGGCAACAGCAAAATTCTCTATAGATAATAAGATTGGAGAAGGTGGGTTTGGAACAGTATATAAGGGAAAGCTTAATGATGGATCCCTTGTGGCTGTAAAGCGTGCCAACAAGGTATGGCATAATTTTCATCTTTTGACTTTTCCTTCTCTAGAATTTGTTCAATTCAATTGTGATTGAAGTTGATGAAAGAGCCTGATCTAGTGAACTTTCTTGACAGGATGTACATAACAAGAACTTAGCTGAGTTCAAGAATGAAATAAACACCTTGTCAAAAATTGAGCATATGAATCTTGTGAGGTGGTATGGATATTTGGAGCATGGAGATGAAAAGATTATTGTTGTTGAATATGTTAACAATGGAACTCTTCGGGAACATCTTGATGGTAAGTGCCCTTACTGTTAGTCATTCATCACATGAGGAAAAAACAAAGAAGGAAATTATCTGGTTTTATACACAGCAGATGGAAATTTATGATCATAACCTGGTATCTTCTAATTTTAGATACAATAACCAATCTTACTTAATGAAGATGTTTCTTGTTGGAAAAGAAGAAGAAACATCAAGAAGTGACTTGAATTTTTCTGCAAACTCACAAAGCATAAAGAATTAAATAGATGAAACTGGGAAGGACATGCACTGTTTAGAATATCTATTTTCACTATTCAATTTGATCTTTTCAGATTTTATAAAATTCAGCTTTTTGCATCCTTTGAAGATTAAAGCAATTATATAAGGTCTAACTTTTCTCCATTATTCTTGCATAAATAATGGTATCAATCTTTTCATCTGGAACTTCTCAGAATGTTTTACCTGCACATTTCATCCCTTGAAATGCACTTCAATAGCATTACCAAACTTCTCTCTTTGCAATGAATTTTCCTGTGAATAAATAAGCTGTCCTGGGCGAAGTGGATGTTTGGGGTAAAGGACTTAGCAATTCCTCATGTACCAAATCTAGACTTGTGCAGAGTATATATTGGTTTATAATGCAATAATGAAATGCATTATCTCTATAATCAATTGCTATGGCCTATAATGACATGGAAGTTGTCAATTATTGATGCAGGTATGCGGGGGAAAGAACTAGAAATCGGTGAGCGTCTAGACATAGCAATTGATGTAGCTCATGCAGTTACTTACCTTCATATGTACACAGGTATGTGTCCTTAGAAAGGAAGAAATATGTAACAACAAATTTAAGTTTCTTAATTATTGTAGTGTAAGAAGGCGAGTCTGGAATAGTGTTAAAGCTGCTCTTTTGTGACTAAAAGATTAGGGGTTCAAACTCAGAAAATAGTCTCTTTGCAAATATACAAAGATAAGGCTGTATGTAATTATTACCCTTATCCATGTGTAAGGGCATGCTATTTGCAAGATCTGCTCATGTTATGTTACAACTAATCATTTAATCTTGTTTGTTCTCCTAACTCCAATGTACAAGTGAAAGCATTTGAATGCCTGAAACTTTGTGATGTTTGATTGACAGATCATCCAATTATTCATAGAGACATCAAAGCATCAAATATACTAATCACTGACAAACTAAAGGCCAAAGTGGCAGACTTTGGTTTTGCTAGGCTGGCTGCAGAAGACCCAGATGCAACCCATATTTCAACTCAAATTAAAGGAACAGCTGGCTACGTGGATCCTGATTACATGAGAACACACCATCTCTCTGAAAAGAGTGATGTTTATTCCTTTGGAGTGTTGCTTGTTGAAATGATGACAGGAAGACATCCAGTTGAACCAAAGAGACCCCTCAGTGAGAGAGTTACAATTAGATGGGTAAGTATGTCAAATATACCAAATACATAGCAAAATAACTAAAATACTATTTTTACTTTATGAAGTCATGCATCACTTTAGAATAAGTTGTGATTGGTTCAACTATATCCCAGCCAAATTTTAGAAAACATAAAATGAATTTTGTGCTGCATCCAAGTTATTCTAACTTCTAAGCATGCACATTGTGGTTAGTGGATCATTCCAGAAAAAGGATATCTCAAGTTTTGAATGACATTTGGTTTCCTCAATGTTTTGAAAGTTGTAGTAAGTAGCTAAACTGTCCCAGGAATTGTTTTGAACTATTAAAAGCTTTTCTACTTCTGTTTATAAGTGTACAATTCATCAATTTAAAGATCATATATAAACAAATCTACTGCCAAAAGAGGTTGAATTTAGTATGTTGTAAATAATAGTTTAGAATAGTAGTATAGAAGTCCCACATCATGTATATCTCTTTGTATTTTCTTTCTTTTGAGTTATATATTAGACTCTCCGCTGTGTAGTTAAGACACACGGATTACTTATAAATCTTGTTCTTGATATTCAACATGGTATCTAGAGCCTAACAAGATCCGCATCTTTCCGGTAGACCCACTGTTTACCGAGTAAAAATCTTCCTGGAAACTGTCACCATCGTCAGTTTCCGGCCACCGTCTGCCACCACCGTCCTCCACCGGAAAAATTTCTTGGCGCCTGTTTTGATCAAAAAGTACATCAACGGACTCAAAAGAAGCCGATCTACCCAACGCCGCAAGACCCACAGTCATCAGAGGTTGCCAGCGTCGTGGACTACCATTTGACCGTCGTTGACCGCCACCACCTGATCACTTTTTAGGCACTTTTTCCGGCGAGCCACCCACAGTTGTGATCGTCACAAAGAGGCGGTTCTTTCCGTCCAAGGCCCGCTCCTAAATTCCCACTGAAGCATTTCTCCTCTTTCCATTACTGTTCACGACATCTTTGTTTCAGCGAATTGTTCTTGATCCATGGCTGATTCTAGCTCATTTATCCTTCCTCAAGATATTTCTCGGCTCACGATCACTGGTTCCACTGCTACTGTTGTGCATACAGGTAATAACGTTGTTGGTTTCACTCAAAGTTCATCATTTAGTCATTGGGTTTTTGATTCTGGTGCCTCTGATCGTATTTCTGGTAATAAATCTTTGTTTTCCTCTCTTTCTACCTCTGGTTATTTGCCTGTTGTCACTATGGCTAATGGTTCCCAGGTTCAGTCTCATGGGATTGGAACAGTACATAGCTTTCCCTCCATTACTATTGATAATGTGCTTTATGTCCCTGGTTCACCCTTTAATCTCCTTTCCATTAGCCGTTTAATACGTTCTCTTGATTGTCTCATTTCTTTTACCCAAAATTCTGTTGTTTTACAGGACCGAAATTCGGGGAGGACAATTGGCGGCGGATTTGAGTCCAATGGCCTTTACCTGCTCTCCAGCTCCTCTCATGCTCATTGTGTATTAGATTCTCCACTCACTATTCACGCTCAGTTGGGTCATCCTAGTCTTACAAAGCTCCAGAAGATGGTACCACGTTTGTCCAAGCTGTCTACTTTGCAATGTGAATCATGTCAATTCTGGAAACATACTCGCAGTTCTTTTCCTAATAGAGTCAATCGTCGTGCCTCCTCTCCTTTTAGTTTGGTTCACTCTGATGTTTGGGGACCCAGTCGTACTGAATCAACTCAGGGTTATAGATATTTTGTTACCTTTATTGACGATTATTCTCGAAACACTTGGTTATTTTTACTGAAAAACCGCTCTGAGTTGTTCTCCATATTTCAGAAGTTTTATCATGAAATTCTTACTCAATTTGGTATTCCTATCCGCACTTTTCGTAGTGATAATGCTCGTGAGTATCTGTCTCAACCATTTCAATCATTCATGGCATCTCACGGTATTCTTCACCACACATCATGTGCACATACCCCCCAACAAAACAGGGTTGCTGAAAGAAAAAATCGTCATCTTATTGAAACAGTTCGGACACTCTTAATTCATGGGAATGTTCCTACCAGTTTTTGGGGTGATGCTGTTCTCACCGCATGCTATCTCATTAATCGCATGCCTTCCTCTGTCCTTGGTAACCAGGTACCGTACTCTATCTTGTTTCCTCATCAGCCTTTACATTCCTTACCCCTTCGTATTTTTTGTTCTACTTGTTTTGTCCATGAACTCGGTCCCAATCGTGACAAGTTGTCTGCCAAATCCCACAAATGTGTGTTCCTCGGTTACACCCGGACACAAAAAGGTTATCGATGTTACTCTCCCAGTCTCCATCGCTCTTTTGATACTCAGTTACCTATACCCTCTGTTCCAATTCAATATGTTCCGGCACCAGATTCCGCACCACCACCGCCTGCACCAGATTCCACACCACCAGCGCCTAGTGTCACTTCTCCATATGTCCCAGCACCAGATCCTCCTCTCCAAGTTTATCACCGACGGTCATATCCACCCATACCCCAAGACATTGATGAGGTTCCTATGGACTCAGATCTGCCGTCATCAACTCCTGCGGTTTCGGTCCCGCCCTCCGACATTGACCTACCAATTGCTCTCCGATAAGGTACTCGTAATATTCGTCCTCCACCCAGGTATTCAATAAATATGAGTTATCATCGCCTTTCTCCATCACATTTTGCTTGTCTTTCTTCTTTGTCTTCTGTATCTGTTCCTAAGACTACAGGTGAGGCATTATCCCATCCAAGATGGTGACAGGCTATGATTGACGAGATGTGTGCACTTCATGGAAGTGGTACTTGGGATCTGGTTCCTCTTCCCTCTGAAAAATCTGTTGTTGGATGTAGATGGATATTTACTGTCAAGGTTGGTCCTGATGGACAGGTGGATCGTCTCAAAGCACGTTTGGTGGTCAAGGGATATACTCAGGTGTTTGGTGAAGATTATAGGGATACATTTTCCCCTGTGGCAAAAATGGCGTTTGTTCGCCTCTTTATTACTATGGCTGCTATTCGTCACTGTCCGCTTTATCAATTGGATGTCAAAAATGCTTTCCTCAATGGTGATCTTGCAGAAGAAGTTTATATGGAGCAACCTCCTGGATTTGTTGCTCAGGGGGAGTCCAGTCTAGTTTGTCGACTCCGCAAATCTTTGTATGGTCTCAAACAGTCTCCACGAGCTTGGTTTGAGAGGTTTAGCACCATTGTCCAGCAGTTTGGTATGACTCGGAGTGCGGCTGATCACTCAGTCTTTTATTGCCACTCAGACTCTGGATCTATTTATTTGGTAGTATATGTTGATGACATTGTCATTACAGGTGATGACCATCAAGGCATTACTCAGTTAAAACAACATCTCAGTCATCATTTTCAGACAAAGGATCTCGGAAGACTACGATATTTCTTGGGAATTGAAGTGGCTCAATCCAAGGATGGTATTGTGATATCCCAGAGGAAATATGCTATGGACATTCTAGAGGAGACAACTTTGTTGAATGCTAAGCCCGTCGATACCCCCATGGATCCAAATGTCAAGCTTATGCCAAATCAGGGGGAGCTATTTTCAGATCCAGAAAGGTATAGAAGATTGGTTGGGAAGCTGAACTATCTGACAGTTACTCGACCAGACATCTCATTTGCAGTCAGTGTAGTAAGTCAGTTCTTGAATTCTCCTTGTGAAGATCATTGGAATGCAGTGATCCGTATCCTTAAGTACATCAAGAATGCTCCAGGTAAAGGTCTCCTCTATAAAAACAAAGGTCATACCAGAGTTGAGGGATACTCAGATGCTGATTGGGCAGGTTCCCCCAGTGATAGAAGATCCACATCTGGGTATTGTGTATTCCTTGGAGGTAACTTGGTTTCTTGGAAAAGCAAGAAACAAAGTGTAGTTGCCAGATCAAGTGCTGAAGCAGAATATCGCTCCATGGCCACAACCACCTGTGAACTTATATGGTTAAAACAACTATTGAAGGAACTCAAATTTGGAGACATTGGCATAACATCTCTCATTTGCGATAATCAAGTTGCTTTACATATTGCTTCCAATCCAGTGTTTCATGAAAGGACCAAACACATTGAGATAGACTGTCATTTTGTTAGAGAAAAAGTTCTCTCTGGAGATATAGTCACTAGTTTTGTTAACTCAACTGATCAATTAGCTGATGTTTTCACTAAGTCTTTGAGAGGGCCTAGGATAGATCACTTATGTAACAAGCTTGGTGCATATGATCTATATGCTCCAGCTTGAGGGGAAGTGTTGTAAATAATAGTTTAGTATAGTAGTATAGAAGTCCCACATCATGTATATCTCTTTGTATTTTCTTTCTTTTGAGTTATAAAATAGACTCTCCACTGTGTAGTTAAGACACACGGATTACTTATAAATCTTCTTGTTCTTGATATTCAACATAGTATATCTGTTCACAGCAAATTCCTTAATCAGAGAATGATGAAATTAGAGATAGAAAGAAGTTAATAACATTAAGTTGTGAGTGGACTAATGGATTCTTTTATAAAAAACGTGTTAGAAAAATATAATATAAAACCTATTATAGATATATAAAACTATTAATGTAGTCTCACCTAACAGCTTAAGCTTTTGGGTTGAATTGGTTCTTACAAAACTATTTATGTGGACTTCACTTACCGGTTATAATTTGCTTGTATGCAGGCAATGCAGATGTTGAAACAAGGAGAAGTTGTGATTGCCATGGATCCAAGGTTGCGGAGAAGTCCAGCCTCAAACAAGGCAGTTCATAAAGTTTTCAAGCTAGCTTACCAATGCCTTGCACCTGTGAGAAGATCACGGCCATCCATGAAGAATTGTGGAGAGGTTTTGTGGGGAATCCGTAAAGATTTTAAAGATAAAGCCTTTTCTCATTCCCCACATGGTGCTCACCATTCTGCAAATTTTCCAGAGAAAGATGCTAGGAAAAATAGACATATGACATTTGGTATTGAAGATAACAAGGGCCATAAATTTGATTCTGCATAATCATTATTCATTTCTGAGATTTGTTCTGATTGTTCTGCTACAGCTCTTAGCTTGTATCATGTGCATTACATGAAGCTGTTAGTTTTCATGAGGTTTTTCCCTCTTCCATTTTGAAATTCTCAAGGTTTTAGATTGTTGAGAAATTCTAAAGAGAAAGTCTTCAGCTTGGATCTCATTGTATACCAGTTTGGTCTTTTGCATTTGATTATAGCATCCTTTGTGTTGTGACTTGGGGTGCTGTAATGGCTAGTGTAAACAGTGAGAATCTATTTTGCTTCAATTAATATGATTGTAATTTTGAGGCAGTTATGGTTATATATAATTGTTTGGCATATACCATTAAAGGATTTATTGGTACGGAGTTTTTTCGGGGTGATAAAAGTGTTCAAAAGAACCAAACCAATCTATAACCAAACTGATCCATATTTTAAAACCGGTTTCATATGAAACTGCATTTTATTTTATAAACTGGTTATTTTACCAAACCATAAAAATAATTAGTTATTCATGGTTATCCATAACCAAACTGCTCTACAATTAAAGAATAAATAAGTAAATCCATTTTGGCTAAAAGGTTTATGCAGTGATAGAATACTTGGGCCATATGTGCTTATTGATGGTTCTTTTTCCATAAAACTTCAATCTTCTTCAACGTGTTTGTATTTTTCTTTTTTGGTGAGTCATCATCTGTGTCTTCTAAATAAGGTGAATTCATCACCTTGCCGGTGATAGAATTGAAGCTGTTGTCATGTGAACTGTTTCTCCCTACAAATTTCCTATTGTTTCCTACATAAATCATAGATGCAGCTGCTTCAGTTGCCTTTCTCCACTGATCTGAAGCCACACCCATGCCATTCTTTGCAGTGCCATACGCAGCTCTTATACTTTCCTCCACCAGTTCAAATAAGACTCTTAGTAACATGAATCTTGAGAGAACGAAGAGCAATTTTTTTTATAATTTAAAATAATTCAAATGTTCTTCTACCAACCACTCTCAAAACAAAGGGAAACAATTTCTATAAGAATCATTTCGTCCATAGAGTTCCAAAACAATGAAGATTCTTGTAAGAAATAGTTGGCCAACTACCTATAACCGGGAGAAACAAACGACTACTTATAAAAATAGCACAATTCATCAAAAACCGATTTTGAACTTGATAACCGATTTATGGTTCATAACCGGTTTTAAAAATCAAAATCGGTTATGAACCATAAACCGGTTTTGGAACCAGTTTGAAACCGATTTAAAATAAAATCGGTTCGGTTTGAAAATCAAACCGTTTAAAACCAGTTCGGTTTGGTTTTTGTCAAAACCGGTTATAAACAGCTCCATGCATACCCCTGCTTAATTGTGATCTTGAGTTTGAATCCTAGGTATACAATTATATTAAAAATTTGATAGAGAGAGATTTATCGCCTTTGTAATCCTACCGACTCAAGTGGAGGTGGAGAAATTTAAAAATAAAAATAAAAAATGTTTAGTATATGGTCTTTGATGTTAAAGGGCCTGTTTGGAGCACCTGATAAAGAAAATAGGATAGGATAACTTATCATATCCTATTTTTATCTCTTGTTAGGTGGGTCAATAGGATATTATTAGCTTATCCTATTGTCTCATTTTATCCTATCTAATACATGATTTCTTATCCTATGGAGGGAGTTAGGTTAAGATTCAACATGATAGGATAATAATATTGGATACTCAATTTATCCCCACGCTACCCAATATATCCTCACGTTACCCAATATATTTGTATTTATTGCATTATATTTTGATTTTTCTTTCTCCTTTCTCCTTTTACATAATTTTATCAGATTGCTATCAATTGCTCATCAAACACAGGATATGATATAGGCTTATCAGCCTCATATCATATCCTACCCTTATCAGCCCATATCATATCCTACCATTATCCTATCATGTCCACCAAATGAACCCTAAAGGTGCAACTGATATGCAAGCCCAGCATTGAAAGGTAAATATTAAGTATGTGTGTGGAGGATGGATATTCTTACTACCAAAATTTTCTACTATCAACTCACTACCTATCTAATCACCATTGGATCAATATTTTCTCTTTTTTCAAAAATTTTTTAGCATTCTCTCTCTTTGATTCAATGGTGATTACATAGGTAGTAAGTTAGTAGTAGAAAATTTTGGTAGTAAGAATATCCTCCTTCATGTGTCTGAATTAATTTATTTTTAAAAATAATTACTTTTTTATAAACATTTTTTTATCCTAATGATGAAATGAAATTTTAATTTTAGTAAACTCTGAATTTTGCCTTAATCTTATACCAAACATAAAGTATCAAATTTTTCCTGACTTGGGAGTTTGCATAATAAATAAAAACAGCACCCTTCTCATAAAAGGACAGCAAATTAGAAAATTGCTAAAACAACTTGATTTAATACTTTGATTTTCTAATTAAATATTATGTAATCTCATTTTAATCTTAATTATTATTTCTTGAAATCACATTTTCATTTCTTTTTGTACAAATTTACAATTAAAAAAACAGAATATGACAGAACAATAATAATCCTATTTTTCTGCTAAAATAACATATTACCTAAATATTAGGTTAATAGATTTTTGGTAACATACGTTACATTTATTTTTAATTTATTCTCTTTAAAAAAATTGATTTAATTGTTTTATTTACAATCACTTTTAATGTCATTTCTACCCTCTGTTATTATGATAACGCTATGAAATGAACAAAATTACTTGAAATATAAAAATAAAATTGATAATAGTTGTGACATACAAAAATAGAAAAATATTTATCGTTTCAAAGAACATGATATTATGTTAATTTGAGTGAAATGAGTAACAATTGTATTTTGATATATATTTATTGATTTTACATTCTCTCTTGTATACAAAATTAAGAAGAAGATAAAAAGAGAAAGTAGTATGAAGGTAAGAGAATGTAAAAATTTAATAAATATGCGTAAAAATACAGTTATTTCATTTAAAATTACATAATTTTGTGTCTTTAAAATGATAAATATTTTTTTACCAAAAAAATGATAAATATTTTTTCCTATAGAAATTAAAAAATACAATATTTTTATTTCTGATATATTATATTTATTTTCAATTTAATTTTTATATTTTATTATATTATAACTTTGATACAGAATATTGTAAAAATAATAATTATTAGAGGAAGGATACGTATACAAATTTTTTTGACAAATTTTTACAAATTATACTATCTTCTCATGTGAGAACATAGTGAAACCTAGTGTTCTCTCGGGAGAAGATAGTAAATAAAAAAATTTGTAAATATAACCTGCTCCTGAATATTATAATCAAAACATATGAAAAAATCAAATTAAAAATAATATTAGTTTATGATTAAAATTATATTTTAACCTAAGATTGGTAGCTTATTATTAAAGAGCAAATCAGCAACATGTGCATGTTGTTACCGCTTCCAATGAAAGCGAGCACGTGTCATTCTTCTCACCGTTCCAAAACTATCTGTTCCCAATGCTTTGCCATCCCAACGTTAAATCTAACCCATATTCATTCATGTGACTCTTGCTTCCTTCACTCTCTTTATGTCAACTTCCCAAGTTGCAAAGACAAAAAAATCCCATCTTCATTGATATTTTTCTTCTTTTCTTTCCATCGTTCACTTACCATTCACTCACTCCAAAAAAAACCCTCTCTTTTTCTATCTCTCTGTCTCTTTGCACTTTATGGCTCTCCCTTGAGGCATCATTTGGCATCATATCATCTTATTCTCTTTTGTGGCTTAGCAATAGCATTCCTTCAAATATCTTCACCATTGCTTCCCCACCCAGATTTTTTTTCTTTCTGCTTATTAATATCTTATTTTTCCCACTTGCCCATTTCTTAAATTCCTGAGCTTCATAGAGAGATTACATTTTGAAGTTGGAAGTGGTAGTTTTCTCTCACTTGGGGTGCTTTTGTTTTTTATTATTTTGATTGTTACTCCATAAAGTTTCTATTTTTGTGACAATTTGATTAAGTGGGTGGTGGAAAAATTTGTTTTTTTTTCTTCTTCTTTTTTCCTAACAGGAGTAAGATAAGGAGTTGGAAATGGCTGCTACATTAGAGGCTAATGGAGGAGATGGTGGTGTTTCTGCCAAAGTTCCAGCAGTGGCACATCCATTGGCTGAAAAGCCTGATGAGATTGCGTCCAATATCAGTTATCATGCTCAGTTCAGTCCTCATTTTTCCCCTTTCAAGTTTGAGCTGGAACAAGCTTACTATGCTACTGCAGAGAGTGTTCGTGATCGTCTCATTAAGGTTTGATGATATGCTTCTTGGAATTGGGATGTCTATGCCCGTGATTTAGTTTTGAATAATCATTTTTGAGTTAATAGTGTTTAATTCATATACAGTTAGCTTTACTCTTCCTATAGCAATATGCATGCATTTAACTTTCATGGTATTGTTATAGGTATTATGGTAATTGTTGATGTTTATATCTTAATAGCAATTGAGGGTCAACTTTCATCAAAATAAGCGTCTTTTGTGACAGATAGATCTAGGACAACAAATTGGCCATGCTACCAATTCCAGTGTTTCAGTGTATGGTAGTGTGTGTGTGTGTGTGTGTGTGTGTGTGAAGTTGTGAACCTTTTTTATACTTCTTCATGGGACAGCTCAATTCAGTAACTTGAGTTGACCTGGATTTCAGACACATTAATGAATGTTGGTTGCTATTTGTTATTAATAAGGAGCAAGTAGTGAATCATTTCTTCGGAATTTATTTAAGATAAAACCTACATAAATAAAGGGGATTTAAATTGTGTTACATAAATTAAATGTTTTTGAAATTTCATAAAGAGTTTGTTCTTTCCTCACTACTGATTCAAGTCCTAGTTAGTATACTTGTATTGTTTGTTTGGATAGGACTAATGCTGTTATTGTACATTGACAATAACTATTTCAGCAATGGAATGAAACATACCTTCATTTTCACAAAGTTGATCCGAAGCAAACTTACTACTTATCAATGGAGTTCCTTCAAGGTCGTGCTTTGACTAATGCTATTGGAAATTTGAATATCCAAGATGCATATGCCGATGCTTTACGCAAATTTGGGCTTGAACTTGAAGAAATAGCGGAGCAGGTAATTAAAAAATTGCAACCTTTATGTGAAATACATTTTTCTCTAGAGCCTATTGTCATGAAATTACCC